TTGTGATTAACATAAACAAACCTATACCTATGGATGTTCCCAGTGGCTCAGTGCCCAGTCTCTGAATATCCATGGTGGGCACAGCACAAATATACCATTGTGATTAACATAAACAAACCTATACCTATGGATGTTCCCAGTGGCTCAGTGATAAGTCTCTGGATATCCATGGTGGGCACAGCACAAATATACCATTGTGATTAACATAAACAAACCTATACCTATGGATGTTCCCAGTGATAAGTCTCTGGATATCCATGGTGGGCACAGCACAAATATACCATTGTGATTAACATAAACAAACCTATACCTATGGATGTTCCCAGTGGCTCAGTGATAAATCTCTGGATTTGGTTTTGATATCCATGGTGGGCACAGCACAAATATACCTATGGAAAGATAAGTACTGTCACATGACATTAAATATAAGTTTTGGTTTGGTTGTGATCATCAGTATAGATTTTCATTGATTTTTCTCACACAGGAAAATTATTTTAAATGTGTTCAGACCTATAAATAATATTTTTATGTTGGTTAATTTAAACAAGTCCAACAACTCGTGTGTGTGTGTGACATGTCATAATAAGACTGATAACTTTGTTTTCTATTGTCCTGTAAAGTGCATTGTGATTTAAATTAAGAAGACTCCCCTATGTGAATACTCAGATTTATGTTTCAATACAGCCCAATAACTGAAAATGACTCTTTGAATTTATATGATCAGCAATTGTTTAATGAGTTTAGTAGAAAGCAGTCGCACATCAAGTTATATACAACACCTAACATAGTAAACACTTTAAGTTGTTTCATATGGAAAATCATTACTTTGTTGTTGGTGTGCTCAAGTTTTCCAAAAGTAAGGATTTTGTTGTAATCTTCTACAAAAGTTGGTATACCACTGCTGTAATGTGCTGAGCGGAACGAAGCTTTCGCTCGGTTTAGAAGCCATTTGAGTCTGGCTCATGGCAAAGGAGGAGGCGTAATTAAAGAAATTTTCTAACATTTTCGTTGCAAATTCACTAAATGAGTCCAGACTGGAAGCTCCCGCAGCTGGACTTGGAGTGAGGCCTTGAATTTGGGCAAGAGGCTCCACAGATATTCCTATTTGAGCAACATGCGAGATTTGCTGCTGAAATCCAAAAGGATGTTGTGTAGTTTCACCTACGAAAAAAAATGCATTTTATTCTTAAAAATATAAATAAAGATAAAAATCCAAAGTTCGCAGGTACGGTTTACAACTCATCTTTGATCGAGCTAATACAGTGTTCTGCTAATTGTTGTTTAAGGCTCATAACGTTGGTAATTTAATCTGACTTTTCTCATGTTAAAATACTTTTATTGCAAGCTTTTGGCCCTATTATCAGAGACTTCATCGGGCAACAATGCATTGTTGGCCAATGAAGTCTCCGGTATTTAAATCAACAAACTAGTCTTGATTTCAATAAAAAAAACATTTACTTGAAAATTATCAGTTTTAAAAAAAATATTCTATCTTACTGTAAAACGTGTAATAGAATAACCACTGTTTGTTGTATACCAGCTGGCACTGAATATGATAGGCATAGTGTGGTTGATATATTATTATATGATAGGCCTAGTGTGGTTGATATATTATTAAATGATAGGCATAGTGTGGTTGATATATTATTATATGATAGGCATAGTGTGGTTGATATATTATTATATGATAGGCCTAGTGTGTTTGATATATTATTATATGATAGGCATAGTGTGGTTGATATATTATTATACACTCTTCTTCCTGGAAAAACTCTATAAGTTACTGAACGAAGAATGTAGTGTTTCAAAATACACTAAGCCTAATACTACTGTCTGTTGAACAATATAAATGATTAGAGTCACACAAGTTTTATCATTTGTCATGACAGGCTTATGCACTTCACACACTATTACCACATTTAGTTTTTACCCATATTTTGCTGATCTTTCTTCCTTATTTTATTAATTTTAAAGCCTTATACATACATACATAGCCAAACACCGACTTAAACTGATAATTACCATATATAGATATTTAGTAGTCACTCCAGACGTATCTTTGATTCAGTATTCCATCACAGAATATTTAAAACAAAACTCTACAAGCCAAGAGCTTTCGAAAGGTTCACCAGGGATATAGGGTGTCATTTTTGTCTTTAACACAGTACCAGTATAATGGTAATAAAAATGTAAGTGTCAAAAACGACATTAAACCTTGAGAGTTTTTGAAGATTAATACACACACAAAAAAAAAGGCAGACTGCTATAATAACTTTAGAAATGATCCATGATGCCCCATTGTATTTCATTTACTTATCAATGTACTCAGTCTTATTTCAATAATTCCTTGTTGAAAGACGTGTTTCTAAGTACAGATTCATTATTCCTCTTAGGAATGAGGAACAATAAAAAAAAACAACACCTAATTGAAAACATCACGTAAATACGATCAGTAAAACGCAGGCAAGTCCTGTCGTAGTTGTTATTACCACAACATTAAAGATACTACCATTTAAAAAACATTTTTTAAACCAAACTAACGTTCTTAAAACACAGGCAAGTCCTGTTATAGTTATTACCATCACATTAAAGATACTACCATTTAAAAAACATTTTTTAAACCTAACTAAGATTCTCAAAACACATTCAAGTCTTTGTGGTAGTTATTACCACAAAATTAAAGATACTACCATTTAAAATACATTTTTTTAAACCTAACTAAGGTTCTTAAAACACAGTTGAGTCCTATTGTAGTTATTACCATGACATTAAAGATACTACCTTTTTTAATCCTAACTAAGATTCTTAAAACACAGTCAAGTCTTTGTGATAGTTATTACCATGATATTAAAGATACTACCATTTAAATACATTTTTTAAATCCTAACTAAGATTCTTAAAACACAGTCAAGTCTTTGTGA